GAACACCCGGAGGACACCAAGCCTGAATGCAGAGAGAACATGCAAACTCCCCACAGATAGACCCCAGAAAGTGCACCCAGGGCCCAAACGCCACTACAGCGCTCGTTCTGTAAGTCAATTTAGATAAAAGTATAGGACAAATAAACATGCCTGACTTAATGTCCAGTTAAAACAAGCAAGTCTCCTGTCCCATCTTGCCTGAAATATCCCCTTGAGCCTTTCTGGAGTTTCAGAATTGAGGGAGTGACTTAATGTACTCCCAGATCGCTCTCCTAGATTAGCTCAGTGATGGCTGGTGTTTCGAACCAGGGTATTCACAATCAGAGAGGGGGGAAAAAGGCTAAGTGTCTGGATTGTTGTTATTTAAGGTCTGTTTTCTCAGCATCTTTCCCTGGGTTTAAATGCAGGCAAGTTTACTTCTCCACAGAGCAGATCTCATGTTGTTCCAGAGTAGTGCACTGTTAATCCCGACAGCTGAGGAAACACAGCAGAAAAACATTTTTCTCCTCAGACCTCAAAAAGCCTAACCTCTGGTGAAGAGCTCACTTTAGACATGGAATTACTAGGGTTTAATTTCGGTTCCCCTCTCCCTCGTTAAAAGGGCCGGTTGTAGGTAGATACAGATGGTTTAATAAACATGCATGATCCTGGGGCTTAGTTGCATAACTCAGTGAAATATTAAATTCCTGAAGGATTTACACATGCACACCTTTTCACACAACTGCAGTTCTGACCTACATGCATTCAGCCAGAAATACTGAAACTCCAGAAAGACTCAAGGGGATATTTCAGGCAAGATGGGACAGGAGACTTGCTTGTTTTAACTGGCCGGTATTTATCGGCTGAACTGGGTTCGCGTTCATGTTCCTGATCAAAATGTGCAGGCTTTGTAAGGCCACGTACATCAATACCTTGCTCACACCTGAAGAAGGCTTCACAGCAGAAACGTTGTGTTTTCTCTCTTCTCTTTGCAGCAGGGAATACACCTACAGTATTACTTGTTCCTTTGCAACGTACATCAATGTATACCCTCCTGGTCCAGGAGGGGGCGCTGTGTCTCCAGGTTTTCCAGGTCTCTGAAGAAGCAGCCATCTGAAGAGCTCAGTTGATCCTGTTCACCTATCTCATGACCACTTTATCCAATTCAGGGTCATGGGGGACAACACGAGCAACAAGCGATAGGCGCAGGGTGGGGTACCCCCTGTAGGGGATGCCAGTCCCTCATGGTGCACAGACACAGACACACACTCGGACCAGGGTCAGGTTTCCCAGAAGCCAGTTAACCCCACAGCATGTCTTTGGACTGTGGGTGGAAACCCCTGCAAACATGAAGAGAACATGCAGACTCCACCCATACAGCACCCCGGGTCTGAAATTGAACTCGGGGGTCCCAGCACTAAGAGGCCAATCACTGTGCCACCGTTGTGCCCCTCCGTTGGCGTCATTAAGCCAAAAGCCACAGACACATCAGCCATAATATTTCATTATTATTAAAGGAGATATTATTCGTTCTAATTGAATTCTCATTAAATTGGATCTTGTGGAACATTTTCAGTCCTTTGGCGCCTCCTTCCGGGCACCGTTGATAAAGCTGTGCTGAGGGCAGAGCACCTCAGGGGTACAAGGGTGGGGTTTGTGTTGGAGACTTGAACCCGGATCAATGGATGTACAGAAATGCGCAATCTTCTCATTA